TCTTCTTCAAACAATACCAAAACCGGATCAGAGTTCAAGAAGCTCAATTCCGTAACTAAAACCACAAATTCCACAAAACCCATTACTTCTACAATCAAGAAATCACCAGATCTATCCAAAAACACAACCAAAAACCCCCAAAGTTCCAAACTTTATCCATCTCCAGAGAAGAAGAAAACGCCACCAACAACCACCACAAAACCAGTACCCAAACCGAAACAAACCGAGAAAGAAATCAAACCGTTCTGGTTAGACGACGAAGAAGACGAAGATTTCGTGAGCGAGTTCAGAGATCTACCAACGAAATTCCAAAGATCACTAATACCAGATCTAGAAAGAATCTCAACACAATCCAAAAACTACATCAACAAAGCAAACAAAGAGATCACCAAAAACTTCAAACCTTACTTCGGTTCCAAATACGCATCAACCATTTCATCAATCGTCTCTTTCGTGTTCCTCATAGTTCCTTTACTCTTAGTCTCACTCATTTTCAATCGATTCAAAGCTTATTTCTCACTACAAAAAATCCTAATCTTCATACAAATCTACCTATCGATCTACTTCTCAATCCTTTGTTTATCATCGTTAATCACTGGAATCGAACCTCTCAAGTTCTTATACGCAACATCGAGCTCTACGTATGTTTGTTTGCAGATTCTTCAGACATTAGGTTACGTCTTCTACCTTTTGCTTCTTCTCATGTACCTTGTTCTTGTCTTCTCTACGGATTGTGGTTTGGGCCTTAAGTTATTGGGCCTTGTTCAGACTTTTGTGGGCTTTGCGGTTGGTTTGCATTATTACGTGGCGGTTTTTCATAGGGTGGTGTTACGTCAGCCACCGAAGACGAATTGGAAAGTGCATGGTGTTTATGCCACGTGTTTTCTTTTGATTTGTTTGTTGTCTAATGCTGAAAGGAGGAAGAAAGAGTACTTGGAAGAAAGTGGTGACGAAGGGAAGAAGAATTGAATTTTATCTCGTTTTTCTTATCTTTTTGTATTTTTAATTTCGGCGAATTTTCGCTGAGAATGCAATAGAAAAAGAAATTTACTAGTGGATGTTTAAGAATTATACTTTCAATTGTATTTATAATTAAACGATAAATGTGGAATAAAATTTCATACTATCATTTTTTCCTTGTTAATCAGTAAAATAGAGAGAACATTTTTCTTGAGAAGCTTATAGAAGAAACTGATATTTTACATAACTCGTAAAATAATGTTTTGGACGGTGAGAAAAAATTAAATGTTTCTCTGAATCTATAGTAACCGAGCATCAAAAGTCAAAATTAAATGAGGTGGGGTCCACGGAATCGTAGAGTCGACGACTTTCGTGGGGAGGGGTATTTCGGTCATTTTAAAGGTACCGACAGAGCTGGGTGTTGCAGTGTGACTTGTGTCGGTGGATAGACACGATTGAGTGAGTGTCGACGTTGTGGTGAGTAAAAAAGGGCCTTTTTGTTACTTAACGTGTTAACATATGGGCCATTCATTTCAAGCCCATACTCAAATGTGTTTATACATTTTTTCAAATCAATCCTAAAATGTAATGATTTGAATCAAAACGAATCCAATTTCATCCCCAATACCTGAAAATACGACGAATAGTTTTTTTTGACGGATAGACAATTGTATCTATTGGATATACAGTATACCTTATCTAGATAGCAAAGTATGATAAGGTATATATTTTCCACATACATAATTGATTTTTCTTTAAATCGAATCCCAAAATTACATAGAAATATTAATAGATTGTTGGTTAATCGGTGGACCGGTACTTGATTTAGATAGCCAAGTCCATGATATATGTACCCATACGTCCTCACACCACATCTTTGTAGTCCATCATTGGATAATAACTTAACAAATTCTTCTCATTGTTGAGAAGAAAATTATACAAAGTTTCTCCGCAAGTATAGATTTAAATTGGTTGTGCTAACTGCTAGGTAAAAACCTAAAGAACTCTTTTATTTTTAAGGTCAAATTTTAATATTTTTTCTGGAACAAATTGATTTTAGTATAAATTTTATTTGCGGAAAAGATTTTTTTTTTTATGGTAATGCAAACATATGTAAGTATATAAACGTTTTGCTTTCTTTATGATACATCATGTGTCAATCACATTCCAATCCATGTAATTCGTGTGATAACACTAGCAAGACAATAAAACATTGGCCGTGGTGATCATCCAGATCATTGAATTTACCCTTACCTTCCTAAACACTAAGTTTTTATAACATCACTCGAATTTCTGCACTTGCATACAAGTACACAATTATGCACAAGTAAGTAGTGAACGAGGGCTGTAAATTTGTGAAGCATTGCATTTATTGGAAACAATCGTATAAACTTAAATGCAAATAGAAAGTGAAACGTTTATCTATGATAAATAGTAACACAAAACACTAGATAAGAAACCTCTGTTATTCAAGAACGATACTTATAATAACCAAAAATAATTAGAGACGCTAAAGTAGAGGTAAGCAAAATATCAGGAATCCGCGATTCGATCCGTCTGGCAATAGTGGATATACATGAGCCAGGTACCTGATCTAGATATCGAAGTCCATGTCCGTACCCATATGTCATGACACCGACACCACATCCTTGGTGTAAACGAAGTGAGACCAAATTTTCGACGAAAGGAGATATAACAAAAATGTTTGAAGAAAGACAATCGAAGGAGTCTATCTCTGGATAATATATGAACAAATTCTTCTCATTGTCATAGAAGAAAAGATTCCCTTGCTTAGAAACCGCCACAGGTATGAACCACCTTGTCGCCGGGTAAAGTTGTACAACAAGTCTAGGGGATAAACTTATGTTATAAGTCATGGTCCAGTTTTCTTCTTGTGCGTCCATGATCCATATCTCTAGTTTCCATTCAGGATGAAAACATGTGTCGACTACGGCTAGACGGTCTTCAAGGTTCACTATCTGAGATGCACTTGTGTACCTATGCGGTGGAAGTACCGGGACATCATGGAACTCTTGTGTGTGAAGATCCAAAGCTAGTATCTTATATTCACGCCTAAGCTTTAACCAATAGATTGATCCATTCACAGATGCTGATTTCCTTTCCGCGTCAATCTGGTAAGGAGGCGGTCTCAATTTTCGCCATTGCCCGATGTTAACATCAAGAATTTCGAAACGGTTATCATCAAACAACATCCTCGCTACTTTATAGCTTCCATTAAATTTGTCCCTACCGAATCCCATCGCCCAACATCCAGGGAATTTGATAAACCATGGTCCTACGATGGTAATTTTCTAATAAGAACCCGAAAATTTGATAGGAAAAA